TACCTGAAATTCCTGTACAAAGTGGGGTAAGCATAGTAGAGTAGCCTTAACTCAAATTTCTTAGGAATAACATCCTACTAATAAATTGGGTCATGCTGTCCTTAAGCAAAGTGGGATTGACACCTGAAAAGCTGTCCAGGGTTGATTTCCTGGGCATTAGAAGAATGCCTCCCTTCTTTTTTAAATGCAAATGTTCAAGTCCATAATATCTGTCTAAGGCTTGTAATGATTGATAGCCTGCCACTACAGGCATTGTCTGAATGATTCCCTGTGAGACAGTGTATGGAACTGTGGTAGTAGTGGTGTAGATAAAACTCATTTTTCTCCAGGATGTTTACTGTTCTGGAAAGGAAAGCCGGTTCATTACAGTTTATGGGTACAGGCGCTCTCTGCCCCCCCGCAAGCGTACCGAGGCATCAGAAGGCATGGGATCAACCCGAAAAAACACAGAGCATCTGTACAGTGGTGCCACAACACCATACCTCCCAGCAGCACTCTCTTGCAAAGTTAGATCCTTAAGACAGTAAATTAGTAAGAACTACTTAAACTAATTAAAAGTGTGTGTATTCTTTAGAGAGAGCATAGTACAGCTATCCATTTCTTGATCACTGAGAAACTAAGAACATCAAAATCTAAAACAGTTTTACTTCAAATTTGAAAAAATATTTCTCAGCATATCTGAAAAAGTTGACAAAAGTGCCTGGATTTTAGTCAGCACAAAGCCACAGAACTAATTTAAAAGTAATTTAGACCATGTTGGCTTTACTGTAAATAATGTAACACTGGCAGTAGTTTTATGATTATATCCCAGACAGTGTCACTCCTGCAAGTGATACTTCGTGAAGTTGATATCAAATTGTAATGTACATTGTTAGGAAAGCTATTAAAAATACTGTACCTTATATTTAATCTTACTACTGAGAAATAGCTGCTGGACAGCACACAAATTGCTACTGATACTGTTTGTTTTTTTTTTAAAAAGGTTAATAAAATACAAGCAAGGTAGAAAATAGGATTAAAAGCATTGTTTCAGGTACAAGTTTTTCTGAATTGGGTGGAGAGATAAGAAACCAGAAAAACACATTGCACATATGTGCACCCTCTGTATAAAGAGAAACGTACAAAGTGGGAAACTGGTGGTGCACTGGGGTAGTACACTGAAGTCTCTGATGCTGTAAACTTGAATTCCTAATTTTATCAAAAAGGAGAATTGAGTCTGGTTCCATTTTTGAGTCCCCATGGGTTATACCTACAGACTACCCCATGGTTTGGCACAGTACACTTTTAAGAGGCAGTCTCTGCTGAAGGGATGCCAGGACTGGAAAGAGGCATAAAACATGTCAAGACCAGGTGGAGGGGGAGAGTGTGAGCAGTGGCCTAGGACCTACTTGAAATTAGCCAGTACTGTTAGTCCAGTACTTCCATGACTATTCAGAATTTCTCTACTTGCACAGTCAGGCTGATTTAAGTAAAACTTCCGTTGTTTACTGTAGCTAATTAAGCCAGTACCAGAGGCTGCACAGATGGGGATTTCTAATTTAAATCTATTCTGATTTAGCATAAGCTGATTCCTAGCAGGTGTAAACTAAACCAAGAGCATCTTCAGGAGTTTGTGGTCAGCATAACTAAAACAGTTTACTTAATGGAGCAAGTTATAAGTATTAGATTAACTCTTCTCTTTTTAACACAGGGAATTTGTAATGTAAGAGGAAATAACACTGAAATTGAACAGGAAGTAGGCAGAAGAAGGTAAGTATTGGTTAAAGAGCAAGGGGTCTCATTGTTCTCCCAGCAACAAATCCTTTTGAATTGAAATCCCTAAAAAACCCGCCAAGTCTCGTTATGGACCTGATTCTCAGCTTTTCATTAGTTTTGTTAAGGTTACAGAGGTTAGGTAGGTCAGGTCAGGGGGCTAAGATGGCAGAGGGGAGCCCCACATTTAAAGAACTGTAGTCGAAGGTACACGTGAATTAGATGGCAAGACCCCTGTTAAAGCCCATGAGTGTATCACAGGTGGAGAATTGTGTTGCTCAGATACAAACAACCCCTCTGCTCCTAGGAATAGTTACCCGTGGCCGAGAGTCACAGTTCTAGTCTCTAAACTAGCTAGCAATGCTACACTTTCCCTTTAAGTGTACTGATTCCTTTAGAAAACTGTTAGGTTATCCTGCCTTATCAATCATACACTGTTCTACACTCTTCCCCCCAAAACGTCACTTACGTTTAATTTAACTCTATATCTAGCATGCATTTTACAAGCTATTTCCCACTTACTCTTTCTAGCTAAGGCAGAATGTTGGCTCTGGTGTTACCAATGGTACTACAGGAATCTATTCACTCTACTGTAACATACATATCATCCCATTACCATAATTCAGAACTGCCCCACGTATGGGAAAGAAAGAAAAGACATTACAGGGGAACTATATTTCTTCTTAACGGAATAAGTTATGTTAGAAAGCTAAAGGCCCAATTCTGGAGTCATTATTCAGACAAAACACTTCATAATTTGTGGGAACACAGTTGGAATAAGGATAGAACTGTGTTCTTAAAGTCTTAATTCCAAATCTTATAAGTATCCTTAAATTGGACAGGAAGATATTGGTCTGCAAATCGAACACGGAATTTTTGTTTGTTTTAAGGCCTATCTGTCATGACAGAAGGGTTTGCCAGTCCCAGAATGCCTTGCTTTGGCTGGTATCTGATTTTTTAACTCACTTCCATTCTGATATTCCCCATGGTATCTTACTGACTATTTTATCTCAGAGTGGCATGCAGTGCGGGCGCATGCTACTGATGCAAGCACGCTACTACAACTTTAACAGGCTAAAAAAAGAAAAAAAGCTTTAGCTTCTTAGTTATACAAAGAAATGATGCAAAAAACCATTGAGCAGCACTAACTCACAGACTAATTACAAACTAAATTGTGCTATATATTAGTATAAAAACATGTTTTAGTAAGAATGGCACTGGTTCAGAAGGAATTAGGACTTCCATCTTGGTTCCGTTCGGTCCACAGTGAAAGCATTGTAGTACAGGCCTGCCCTGTTGTCTGAGCAACTTGTGACAGTGGCTCTTGGCCACAACCCCATACATTTCTTCCCTTTTTATATCCGCCATTGTTGGTACGTTCTGGGAGTAGCTCGGGTCAGGTCTGGTCATCTTTCCTAACGTGGCACCAGAAAAGTTCGTTCTTACGCTCTGCTATTTCCTTAGTATCGTTAACGATTCCCTCTTCTGATCTCTCAGAGCTGGTCAGTTTTAAGGGTCATCTTCTCCTGTAGACACCATGAGACGCATTGCTACTGGTAGGTGGTCTGTCAAGCCTGCTAACTGGGTAATAAAGCTGAACTCTTCCACCTCCTGCAGAAGGAAGACAAAAGTAAGAAAGAGGTAACCAGAAAACTGATCTGTTATACCACACACCAGGACTCAGCTTTTATGCCTCTTTGTAGTTTACTTTAAAGAACCTTACTGCATTAGTAGATGTGTGGGACCAGTCTGGCTTGGCTGGGCTAATGGTAAACTGGGCTACACAGGGCAGGGCAGTGTGGTGCAGTTGCTGAGGTGAACTGCTTACACGATACACAGTTGCACTAGTCTGGATGAAAGCTGCTGTACCTTTCCATTTACAGAAACATCTGTGTTGTTCCAGATACCACTCACCTGTGGTGCTGCAGCAGGTAATCTGCTAAGGAGGCACTCCCCTGGGAGGAGGGGCTGGTGGTACCCTGCTAGGGTACAGCACGCAGCTAAAAAGGAAGCCTGCCTTCATCACATTGAGGTGTTCACCGTCAGGGGAACCCTGCTCCTCGTGGCTCTGAATTCCAGCCTTTGTTCTGGCAATGTTTCATAGGAGTGAGTTCTGCAGGAAATCCAGTGTGCTTCCCAGCTTCTGCAAGCTGGCTGGAGCAACCCTAATACTCGCTTCATACAGTGTAGTTAGCCCTCCTAGAGGCCACGTGCTTACTTTACCAGTACTTTGGGAATTGTTTGCAGGAAGCACAAATATTTTAGTTCTATTTATATTGCCAGCATGAGCTTTATCAAAGATCTAATCTGGGCCAAAACTATTCAAATGTTGCTTTTGTTGCTTTTTGTGCAAAATGTAAGATGGGTTTCCTATACAGATGTGCCATGGGTATTTGTGTATCTGAAACAATAAGCCTGAAAAGAATTTAGCTGCTAAGCTGCTGTGTCCACAGACCGTGTGTGAAGAGAGCGCAGACAGACTGAGGTATTGTGCCCTAAGTTATGCTGAACTGCTCTGTTGCCTGCTCTTCTGCAGCAACTGCAGCAGGGTGTGGTAAGTAAGGGTGAACTAGTTTCTCATTTTCCTCATGAAATTCTGTATAAGGCCAGGTCCTACACCAGGAAGCGGACAGTGCACTACCAGTTCTCATTCTGGTTAGCCCGTGCCAACTTCTGCCCCCGTATCACTGACTTGTAACTTAGGTGGGTTTTCACAGGCAAAATAAAAGAACATCCAGATACTTGAAAAGATTAAAAAACATTCAGACTGCTGGCATGGAAAGCATCAGCCAAAACACTTTGCCTGGCAGAAGTTTAAGGACTGGAAACAAGCTTTTCTGATTGTTTTTGAAGAGCAGCATATCTACCAGTGTCGCTACCAGAATCCTAAACTCATCTTAAATGTGTTCATGTAATAGGTTTACAAACTCAGTACTTGCATGCAAAAGTAGAAAACAGAAAAGCAACAGGTTCTCCTTGGAGTATGAATTTGAACCCAAGCAGAACAGGCTGCAGTGCCATCCAGACAAGTGTCTTGTGTGAGTTATGGCTCTTTTTGTCAACTCTAAAACTCACCACTTTCCATTCCAGGTAGAGACCTTCTTCTGTATAGAGCATATAGTCAATCCTTCTCCCGTTTCCTTTCAATGACGCCTTCCTCCCCTTTTGGCTGGAACTGTGGTTCTTGCTGGTGGGATAAACTAAGTATCCTTTCCTTCCTTCTTCACTTTCCAGTACCCTATTTCATTAAAAAACAGAATAAGTGCTGTAAATGTTTGCTCATTCTGTCCCTTTGTGTATTACACTAGATTCTCTCCAAATCCCCGGTGAGGGTAGTGCCTGTCCAGAAGGACTGTTAAACTTGTAAAGCACATTTTCTTCCAAGTGTGATTTCCAAGATGAGGCTGTACAAACTGCAGACAGTGCTCTTAAAGCCTCCCATGGGGTTTGGTGTCACTGGTGTTGTTCTGCTTGGACCTGCTGTTGGAGGCAGGAGAGCAAAGCACCTCCGAGGAGGCGCAGGCGGTAGCACACTGCAGCCCACAGCCCCGCTGATGGCCAGTGCCGCTGATTCTGGCAGAGGAGGAAACTGTTTCACTGATTGCTTTAGAAGAAACTTACATACTTTGATACAAACCTCTCCCTTCTGACCACAGCAACTCCTGAAGTGAAGACAACCAGCTTTACAGACAGGGTATAGATGAGGAATGCTTTTCAGGAGCACACATTTGGGCAGGTGGTGATTGGTGCTGAGCAAGCCTCAGCATCAGATTACTGTGTCTTGGATCCCAGCTCTTACTTCGCTAGTGTCACATCTCTCTCAGCTAGTAATGACAGCCTAATTTATTTGATCCCTCTATGTGACACTCTTTGAACTCCTCTACAGAGAAGGACTTAATTCAGCAGGTGTGTTCATACTGCCCCATCGTGCATGGTGATTACCTAGCCCAAGACACATACAGAAGCAGTCACAATTAAGAATCAGTTTTCTAGGTACCAGTCTTGTGTTTGGGCAAATAAACTGCAGCTGTCCCATTAAAATTTTTAGTTTGGGTACTTAAACCTTAACAGTAGGTTTTATGCAGAAGACTCTTAAGGCCCCAAGCAACTTGATCTAACTTTTAAGTTAGCCCTGCTTTTAAAGGGACTTTGGACCAGGCACCCCACAAAGGTCCCTGACAGGTCTATTTTTACAGTAAATGTGTGTTGCTGTGCTGTTCTATATTGTTTGCTTTTCTATTGAATTTAAAAGGAAACTTGGTTTACTTTCTTGTATTCTATTTAAAAGATCTACCAAAGGAGTGCTAAAGGGAACAGACAGAACTGTGTATGCAAAAGTTGGAGTTGCACTCAGTAACGACACATGTAGGGTTTTATGCAGACAGTAACAAGTACCAGCGCAGCTGTTGTGCGTGGTCAGTGCACACAGAGAGGGATGGATTAGGTTGTGTTTTTGCTGACTGGCTCAGAACACAAACAAACTACCTTCAAAACCACCTCCTTGAAAATCATTTTGCTTTACTTACCTGCCAAAACCTGAGCTCAAGGTTCTGTGGTTTCCCTTGTAAGAGTTGATTACACCATTAAGCTACATCATCAACTGTCGCAGGAGAAACACTGAGCCATGAACTTGGGTCCTAGCAGGTACAAAGCCTTTAATTTCACCTTGGAAAAAAATAAGATATTTTTGATCACCCAGTTTTTAAGACTTGACTTTGGATGGGTTTTATGGGGTTGGGTTTAGGAATTTTTTAATGCATGCGCGTGAGAGTACAGAATGAAGGAAAAACAAAAGACAAACACCAGATTCTCGTGATGTGTTTTGATGTCTGAGGTTCAAATGGGGTTTTTTTGTCAAATTTTGTCTCTCTGGCAGGATCTGAATGGTGTCAGAGGGGACACAGGACTTGCTACAGTTGGTTACGTCTCAGTAGTGCTGTTATCTGTAAGTTTGGGTCAGTTGATGCATACAAGACATACTTTATGCGCCTTCAAAAGATAACAGTGATGAAATTTTGGTCATACAGTTATTTAATCACCCCCCCGTTTGGACTTGGTGAGGTACTAAAAGTTCTTAAGAGTTTCTTTCAACCAGTTTATGAAAGTAAGCTTCCTTTTATTTATTATAGGTTTTAGACTATCGTCTAGTAACTCATGTTAAATTAGCTGACTGCACCCCATTTGCAAGCTGATTCTACAAAGAGCTACTGCAAATGATTCACTTCCTGAAATTCTTTTTCTAGGTTCAAGAAAGCAAACTCTTTGATGGGACTGACCTCTTTCAAAAACTGTATTTATAATTGGCAAAGCTAATTAAGTAACAAAGTAGAAGAAACTGCTGATTAGCGCTGCAGTACTACTGCAAAAAAATCTCATTTGCATTAATTTAAAAGATCAATTTGTTTTAGCTGCAATTATGTCCTTCTAAAAGACTGTGAATGCTGGGTATTCACTTAACCTGCACAACTGCTTATGGAAGGGAAATGTTCATTTCAAGTACGTGAGGAAAGTGAATTGTAAATGTGCATGTGTCTGCTTCTGACTAAGACTTGTACCACTGTACGCCACGGTTTGCTGTTTGTCTCTAGGGGAAGTAGACACAAGTACTGGACATCTGGCTACGCTGTACTAACAGTTAAATGCTAACAATTTCACAGAACTACCTGTGACTGTGTTGCACAACTAAACCTAAACTTTGTCAGAGTAATTGTCTTAATTCATAAGACACAAAGAAATGGAGGATAAAAAGTAACTGGAACGCTTATTTTTTCCAAATAACTCCATGGTTTAAGTATGGAAGTTCTGTGACGCAGCTCTCTGGCCGATGGTTGGTTTGTAGTGCTGACCAGAGCTGCAGCGAGCAGAGGAGCACAAAAAGCAGTGTATGTAAGGGAGCCGCAAAACTTCCTCCCTCATCATAAAGCTTGAGGGACCAACTCTCATTCAGGTGAGAAGCACCCGAGTTCAAGACAACTTTTCTTACTGGTGTTGGAGCCTGTCACCAAGAACTGTGACCCAGTGTCCAGCAGTGGAGACTGGTAAAATTTGCATTTAAATCTTGTTTCTTAGCTGTGTTGTAATGTGTTCTCCTGTGTCAGGGTCTATTCAGGGTTTAAAGACAAAAATGGGCTTATTCCAGTGCTTTGCTTGAAGGTGACAATCACCTTTGTGAGATGAGATTATCTGTGTGTGTTTCATGAAGCCTTTCTGAGCAGAAGCTTGTGTGGCTTCCAGCACTGTGGCAGGGTCCAGACTGTTATATCCAGCTTATTAATTGTTCTATAATTATAAATGCCTTGCTCATTATTTGTACCAAGTATGTTCTTCTAGTCTGATGTTTTACATATACTATACTTAACATGTAAGAGATATTTAAGAACTAGTTGTTCTGCTGGTTTTATGGCCTAATTAATTTAGTAATGTGAACTACTTTTATTTAGAAACTAGAGGAGTGCTGATGAAGAAATAAATCTCTGGATAGCTTACATTGCCAATTTAATTGTCTGCAAAGCTTGATCAAGGTTTATTATTGAAAAATCTGAGAACGGATCAGTTATAGGCTGTACTCTGTTTTGCTGTGTATATCATTAACACTTGTTAGCTAGACAGTGCTCCACAGCTTCTGTGCTATTTAACATTTAACTGTCTTTAAGGCCCAGAGTCCATTAATGGCTTTACATTTTATTGAACTTACTGGCAATTTTTATGTTTACCAGTCCCTTGCAGAGATGGGAGGACAGGCCCTCTTGGCCTCTCATGGAAGTGACCATTTCTCTAATGTGTAAGCATGTCTACATGATTTACACATGCAGATCCATGTTTCCCTGCAGATCTGCAATAAAGCGAATGGAAATTCTGGTCTAACAGAGGTTTTTTTCATCTTACTACTTATATGTTATATATATACACATAGATATTTGTAATCCCTCATAACATATTGCAGAAAACTGAAAGCCACATTTAGTAGGCAAAAAGTCTTATGTATATTCTGTTACCACCACTTAAGAATATTTTCCATTTATCTCATATTGAGGTGCTGCACATACACATAGATAGCAGAAGTAATACTCAAATCTGTACTGATTATTTGATGGGTCTTTATCTATCAGTCATGTATTTGTCAGTGGAATTTAACTGTAACTCTTCAGAGAATAAAACAAAATACCCCAAAAGTAATTTGGTGACAGATTGTCTTGAAAGACCACTTGAAAACACAAGGGGTTTTTTTGGGGGGGGTAGGGGGTGTTTAATTTTTTTTTTTAAAAGAGCTCCAAGCCTGCTTTTGGAACCATAAAATAGAATGTTGCACCCACATATAGATTTGCATTTGCAAGCTTGATTGTAAGGCCAAATTACCTTACTCTTGCTTTCCAAAAATCCGTTTCACATGTACCAAATTCATATTTTCGATATGTGGATAGAAATGCCTGGAAATTTTGCAGGTTCTTGAATGCACAACGCATGACGATGTAACAAATTCTTATTTTTAATATAAATTAAACCCTGACTTTATAGCTAAAATTCAATTTCTTTGTTCAAAACTGATACAGAGAAGACTTCAAGGCAGCCTCAAGTAATATGTTCAACTAAGTGTCCAACTATACCATGCAGTGTACTGTACTTTGTAAAAATGCCAACATAACCTGTGCCTGTATAAAGTCCCATTGCCATTATGGGTGTTAACTGAAGCATCTTCACAGGTTCACTCATTCAAATAACTTTACCTCTTTAGTATATTTTGGTATTGAACAGCTAGAACATCTTTTATAGTTAGTCATGGTAATAACATATTTAGTCCATGAAACTAACCTTCAAGTTAGAGAAGGTGCAAAAAGGATTCTCACATTCATTAAGTGCTGCTCTACAACATACAAAGCTCATTAATTTCTCTCTACTGGCATTATTATTTAACGGTATAGGTAATCAAGAAATTTATCTTAAGACTTCTGCAAATTAAGGGGTTCTTGTATTTCTCCTAAGTCCACTAGCTCAAACCAGAGATACCTGTTTCTTGATATTAAACACTCCTTAAAAGTAATGCTGTGCTTGTATCACTGACAGATACGAAGCCATATTCCTAGTAATGCCTGATGTGCTATTTAATTCCTCTCTGTACTTCTGAGCTTGTTTTTTTAGCTGTATTGAATTCTGCCAGCTTTCTAGACTGGGTAATTAGTTCTTGGGTTGGGAGTGGTGTTTTAAACTTTATGGGCTTTTTATTTGAAGAAAACTACATTTCCTTTTGTTGCTGTCCCTGATAGGGCTGTGGCCAGGGACCTGGCTGCCTGCAGAAGGCCCGTCAGACAAGCTGTCTGTCTGGATACCCTTTCCTGCAGTGCTCGAAGTTTCTTGTCCTATGAGCCTGTCCCGGTAGGACCAACTCTAGAGACATAAAACCACTGACAGCAGTTGCTCACATCTTTTCACCCACTGAAGCCAATTCCATTAGACTTAGAGAAGCAGCCACTTTTCCTTTTTTTTTTTTCCTCTTCCCTGAGTACCCCATTAAAAGATTTTTTCTTTTTTTACAGTCCATAAAACACCACCCAATTTGTGAAATTTCAAATAGTAGGCAACAAACTGGCTTTTTAAAGAGTTGTCTAAAGCATGTAGAAGGATCAGGAATTGCATACTTTTGTAGGTTGTCTGGAGTGCACACTTCTTCATCATATAATCCTTCAGGATCCAGCAAGGTCCCTGTGAACAGAAGGGCAGATGTGACTGTCTCAGCATACCTCCTGCGACTTGTCTCCACGCGGGAGGCTCCCGGGGGCACCGCTGTGGGGAGAGGGATCGCTCTGCCTCAGAGCGCTCGGTGTTCCCTTCTCCACTACCCCAGCCTCCCCACTGCCTGACACCTTTCAAAATGCTGCCTCTACCTTCCAGTTTCTCAGTCCCAGTGGCTCTGATTCGTTTGTTTTTCTACTACAACAGAGTAAAGCCACATTATTGAAACAGTTCCACATTCTTACCTTTAGCATCTTCACAGTTATAATTGCTCTCTAGGGAAGGTCTTAAGTCCGATCTAAAACTTTAGCAGATATGAATATCTCGGGAGTTCCATAAAACCTTTTATAAGATGAACCCTACAAGTCTGTAGTGTTGTTGAATTGCTTTGTTACATCCTCACAGTATTTATAGAACACTGAATGGAACATTCTGATCAAAAGCTGCAGGCTTCCACTGCATGCAGAAAGTACAGAAACAATAATTTGGCTTCCACCCCACCCCCCAACCCCGAAGTAATCTAGAGATTATGTAAAAGTAGAATAGGTGTGGGAAGGCATTCAAGTAACTTGATGCATAAGTTCTAGAATGTAGACTGAAGTTTGAGATCTTTGTTTGGTTCTTAATTATAATTCAGCAAGACACTGTTAAGGTTTATAAAATACACCTTACAGAAATCTCCCTTGTAAACATTTGGTCTCCACCAAATTCTTACTGCCCGTTAGCTGAACTACCTGCTGCTGCTTATAGATGTCCTGCGAGTGACAGACAAGCAAACGTTCACACACCGAGAGCTAGAGAAGGTCTTACCGATTGCCCACGGTTTATCCTCCCCAGGACCAATTCGACATGGGTCTTTGTAGTGTGTAAACAGAGAGTGCTGTTGCTCCAGCTTGTCCTCTGCAGGGAAAGAACAAGCCCAGGAAAAGGCACATCAGCTACGTTTTGTGAACCTGTGCACAACTGGTTCTTCCACAACAGCAAAGGCAAATCCTGCTCCCTACTCAGTATACACATACAGGATTGATTTGAACCCATTCAGTAGTAGCTCTACTGCACAGCAGGATCTGGTCTTGATCAGAAATTCCAACAAATGCCTGCTAATAATAGTGCTTTCCTACAAATCCTTTCTATGATAGACATTTTCTGGTAGTTTCTAGCTGTTGACTGAAGGGAAAGTTTTCCAAGATATTTCCTTACCCTGCCATTGACATAGCATTGCTTACACTGGTACAAAACTTTTGTTGAGATAGATCATACAATGGAGAATTGGACTGACTTCACAATGGCAATGTAAATGGCTGTTTGTGGGTGTGTCTACACATCTCAGCAAGTTTGAAGATAAAAGCTTGTACTTTACTTGCTTCAGAAGAAGTCCCTGACAATGTTTTCCAAGCTATAATAGATAGAGAAAGGGCAGACAATTGATAATTTGCTTGGGGTATTATCTACAGCATTAAAGCCATTCTAAACATAATCAGCATGACCTATCTATCAACTGTAAATTAATTTCTTCCTAATTACTACAGTGCTCCTTGCATTTAAAGCATACAGCACACATCAAGCTCCTAGGATTTAGTAAGATATCCTACAGAAATGTATATATCAGAGTTTAAGACACTGAATAAATAAAGAAGTTCTAGTTCTGTGCATGCTGTTTAACACAGCAAGCAGTATACCTGGGAAACAAGTACAGCCAGGACTTGAAAATACTAGCTGCTACAATTCCATTTTTGTTAAATGGCAAAAAACCTGGCAACAGCTCCTGATAACTTTCTTTCTTGCAGCACTTACACCTTTTACAAGGTTAAAACTTCTTAGCCTCACTTGAAGACTCTCTTGGGATTGACAGAATATTCACCTGTGTTTGGAGCTGCTGTCACTTACATCTGTCACTGTCTACAGCTGAGACAACAGAATATGTAAGTACGCATGAAAATGGACTCCTCTGAAGTCAGAAATAAAAATTTGAACCATGAGCTGTGTATCTTAGAATGCAGCTCACATGCTCTAGGAATCACTCTAGGAATCTCCTTGGGTAAAATGTTCTTGGCAAGTGAAGAAGCTATTGACCTCTCTCTGTGAAGGAGGAAGCAGAAGACACATGTGGAGCACAGTGGTACTGCGTTCAGAGCTGTTGGCACCTCTGCCATTTTGTTATTAATTGTCATTAATACAACTGGCATCCTTCAGCTATGGCATCCGTACCAGCTGATCTGTCTCATGACATCTTCCTAGCTTCCCCCCCCTGCCCTGCCCCAACTAGCTCTTGATCTTGAGAACATTCTCGTAATTGTAGGGAGACTGAAAAATTAATTTGCCAGGGTAGCCTGGCATTGTGCAGAGGATCAGAGGACTGACCTCCCTAAGATTTGCCAGGAATGCAGTGCACAGAATTGCTCTTGCTATCTGATTGAACAGCCAATTGGTTTGTTTATGGAAAAGCAGAAGACAAAAGCTATGCAATTGTTCACTTCTCCAAGTCTTCCCTTGTTACGTGTCTACAAAATTTCCCTCAGAAACTAGCTAGATTAAAATTTTGTCATGATTAATTTGCAACTGTGGCACTGACAAATCACGGCTGATGAGACAAACTTAACCCATCTGACTGGAAGGCTCTTTATCTTATGCTAAAAGGTTTAAAAACATAATAGACTGTTACACAAGTCAGTCCAAAGCAACTTGACAGTAAGTAACTTTTAAATAATGCTCCCACTAAGTGTGAATTCACTGTGAATGTTGTCATAATGTTCTGTAAAGCTGGAGGGTAAAACTGAGTTGCAGAAAATCTGTCATAAGCATAAGGTCACTCATGGACCTGGAGACCTTTGAAAACTGTACCATCAATACATCTAAGAATAGAAGCTTGATATTCACTGAAACATTAATTACTTGCTGCATCAGTCTGTGGAGTGGGAAAGAATACAAAAAATCATAGACAGAATTACAGGAAGCTGATTATTGCTTTTAAAAAAAATAATCTTAAGATGCTGAATTCAAATGTCGCTAAAAAGATGAGTAATGTAAAAGTGGAGGAGAAAACTTTAAAACATTTCATCAATCTTGCTTAGTGCATAGGAAAAGAAAGCAAATCTAAAACCAAAAAATGAAATAGCCATCTTAATTTCAGTTTCCAGGCTGCATGAATTTTAAAGGGGGGTGGGTGAGATATGTAAATGAGCAGCAGAGAGCAAAAATAAAATGGATTTTTATAACCTACTTTTCAGTCTTCTTTAGTAGTAGTTGCAGTGTTTACAACTATTATTTAGAAAATCAAATAGTTGCTTTTACTTTTTCTTCAGCAAGAAAGGTCACAATAGCATTAATTATTATGTGCTTGGTTAGAGTGCCAGAACCTCCGAGGTAGAGAATCCAGGCCATACATTCTGCCTCATGGCTTCCTGCCGTCTCTCTCCTCGTGCTCTCCCCATCCCCTTCCCACTGGCCATCTGACCAGGCAGCCTCCCCTTTGCCAGGCAGCCGATTGGTTATTGCCCTGATGGCCATCTTTGTCTCCAGGCCACTCCCTCCCTCCAACAATATTGCAACTGAAACAGTCAAGTCACAGCAGATGTGTCCATTTGTCCCCCAGCTTCTGTCTCCCCTCCTGGGGCCTGCTGCACTGGGCTCCTCAGCCTGTCGGTGTAGCAGCTTGGCTAGCTGAAGATCTGTTTTGGATGGCATTTCTTCCTTCCCTAAAACACTCACTACCCACTGCTACCATTGTATTTTATCCTAATACATGCTTGTTTAACTAGCCATTACCACCTGCTGTTCACCTCCACTACACAGCAGATTTTTCTACTAGTCAAGCACCTGCCAGCACCTTTCTCAACCATTCTGAGTTTACTTTGGATCATATAGTTGTGACTGATTTATTTTTTGTACATATGATCTAGAAACATACACCAGAAGGGCTGTATTTTGGGTTAATGGTCTTTTCTACCCAATGAAAGTGTTTCTCCAACTTTGCTAAAATATTCCAAGTGTCTCATGCAAGTTATGAGATTAGACAATAATGGTTATTTTTGACATCAGACAATTCTTGCTTTTTGTTTCTTAAATTATTTTTGCTACAGTCGTTGCTGTCAGCCTCAGTGACCTGGGCTGCTTACGAAGGCTACAGAATTCACACTAGGTGCAGTTCAGAAATTCACCTGTTAATCCACAAACTCTGCTCTGAATTGCTGATTCTGACAGGGTGCTGCAGCTTGAGCTCACCTGTACACTGCGTGTCTCCTTGGTAACGCAGCACAGATGAGATCCCTCTGAGGAACCCCCCCCACTGTACCTGCCCCGCGCTCAAACGGCCTTTTCAACGCAGGCCTTGGGGGCGGCTGGGCTCCCCCGAGCCATTTGCTGGCTCCAAACCAGCAGAGCCGATTGCTGTGGGGTAAAGGAGCTCAGCTGGAGGCCTGGGCTGTACTGAGCTGGAAGGCAGGGAGGGTACACGCACAAGGGTGTCTGCACTCCATGTTGGCAGTTTAACTGTTAACAGAGAATAATATTTATGTTTGGAAAAGGCTACAATCTCTGTGAACCCACCATCCATTAATTATGGTTTTGTGGATCCCTTTTTCTAATACCCTCAGCATCCAAATATAGAAAAAAAAAAAAAATTAAAAATTTATTAAAATAAAAAACTCAGAAGTACATAGCATCGGTTAATTTTTTCTGATTCAGCATTTGTTTAGTTCTCTCTGCAGCATTAATCTCCTACGTCTGTGTATACGCACTATCAAATTATTTTTAACTGCATGAATTTACTACTTTTTCCTCTACAAAATCCCATTAACAACCACATCTTTCATTAGTAACTCAAATTCTAGGCCAACAGGTATTTACCTAATTCAGGTAAAGCTAAACCACCAGATCTGTCCTCATTATTGTTACCGCAAGTCACAAATTTTTCCCTTCGTGCCTTAAAAAACATCATGCTTAATAACAGAGCTCGTGTCAGCTACTCTCCTTGGCTCATCTGAAGACTAGTACTTATTTTAGAATTATCTGCAGCAATTAAGTCTTTCCTTGCAAAAGCCAGTCACTAGTATACAGCTATAACCCACAGGAATCAAGAACTTTCCCATTCCTTTTTGGAACAGGTAGACACCAGGAAAATGAAAACCTTGTCTTACCAGAGGAGCAGTTATCAAAGTTGAGATCTCCACAGATTACATCAAAAGCCACCAGCTCCTCTGGATTGGCTGTACTGGAGGAGGAGGTAGATTTTCTGAATTCAGACAGCCAATCTTGAAGCATATCCAGTTGCTCACACCGAACAGTAGTGTCTCCTGTAGCAAACAAACAAATAACCAAGAAGTCAGACCTCCTTTAAGCATGTTGCTCAGCCACGTATTAGTTGCTAAGCTATTGCTAGACATCTCGAGAGAAAGAGTGCAAGATAAAAAATGGTGTGCCTAGTAGTGTACTCATTATGTAGTGCTTAGCCCATTATGAAATTCATTTGGAACCACACTTTTTAATGATTTAAGTATCTCCTTTTGGAATTAATCATACCAGGTATGTCTGAAGAACTAAGAAGACAAGGTGTCGATGCTGCAGCCAGCCAGCCAAAATGATGTTTCTAGCCACAGAAGGATGATCTGATGCACTACATTTATAATCAGGAGTTCAGAGTTAAAATCCTACTTCAAGACAAAACCAGAGAGCATGTTCATTGGGTGAATCACTTCATCTTTCTTTGCTTTCTAATTTTTAAAAAAGTGACTTTCAAGTGTTACTAGTAAATATACAACCATAGTAAATTCAACTTAAGCATACTGTAGTAGTCCATCTGAGGAAGATTTCTATTTGTGTTCAAGTAAGAATGCCTAAACTGGAAGTATTTTTCATCGATTTAAAGGCATGCGTAGATACAGGTTTAAGTAGGCAGTACCTCAGAAATAAAAAGCCAGATCCTTTTCACCAGTTGCAGGGAGGTTACACTGGACTGCACCTGCTGAGGATATGCCCCCGGTTTATAGGAGTGATGTGGAAGGGTTGACATTGATTGGTCACCAAATATTTTTTGTTTGTGAAACCGTCTGACATGCAAACCAGCTCTTTAATTATAGCAACTAACCACACTTAAGCACATTAGGTGACATGAAGTCTCAGAAAAAAATAATTACTGGCTCTCTTAAAATGATAACCGCAAAAGCTTGATGTGGGGAAAGGTGCAGGAAGAGATACAGTCTAGAAATAATTGTTTACCATATTGTCTTTCTTTTCTTTTGTTTTCACTGTACCTATAGTTAACAGTTACAATTTTGCTTGTTTCAGACTTGAAATGTCGTCAGAAAATTACTTTTCTTCGAAATGTAAGATTTGTTTTCAAATGCCACAATCAAAAGGAAAAGCAGCAAACCCCAAATTACTTATCCTGACTACAATTTTATTTTAACCTAATTTACTACTTTGTGCTAGCTATTAAAAGGGTGTGAAACATAATTAGAAACATCAGTTATGTATGTTCCAAGCTGCTTTCAGTGGCCACTCTGGAGATGAATGTTTAAGTCGGCATCCTCACAGCTTGTTAAGCACTCCTCTCAGCTGCAGCTGCCCCCAGCACTGTTTAGACTTGTAAAACGTGAACTCTGCAGCACACTGTAACTGTGTTAGCAGACAGACAAACCTCAGGCTTTAGGACTTCTCCTTCCTACCACTATTAACCTGTGACGGGTTGGATTTTCAAGAATGTCTTGGGGGCAGAGGGGTGTAAAAACAACAGTTAAATACAAACTGAATCAGAAATGTTCAACCAGGCATGATTTGATACAATCCTAAATAATCAGATATCAAAAAGAACATGAGCAGGTGAAGTGAGAGCTTTAAGTAGGTTCTGAAACTGACTCATCTCTTCAAACTGGTAATTCCAACAACAAATAATCTGATTTTTTTGCTTCCAGTTGTGTTATTCCCC